ATGTCTGATTACTGAGCTAATTGCTCAGGTAGGTTGTTTTTATACTGTATAATGTATTTATGGGTTTTATATCACTGTCAAAATAAGTATTGGATGAATCCTTATTCCTCATCTACATGTTGAGAAATTGTTTCCTGAGTCCAGACAGAAGTTAAAATTAGGAACAGCCTCTGAAACAGGCTGACGGGTGAAGGGCAGCTAAGAGAGGATGAGAGCCCAGAGTCAGAAAGCAAACAGCTCAGTAGAAGATTGGCATGAGTTACAAAATACAAACTGGTGTAGCTGTATTTCAGCAGCATATCTACAGCTGTAACCTGTGCTGCTGCAGAAGGAAGGGGGAACCAAAGACTCTTAGGATAGAAAGAGTCTATCACTATTCCTGTCCAGAATGGTAAACAATTGTTTGAAGACTTTTTTACTGACCTTTGTTCCAGGAGTACTTGCAAGTCAAACAGAATTACAGGGCGTAAATCAGAAATACTCAACTGTGGATCAGCATATCCACAAAGAGATATAATTCAGCTCACAGTCTCCCTGAGGAGCAATCCCTGACAAATCTCTCTTAAACTCACTCCTGATATATTGGGCACATTACAAAAGAAACTGTTTAACAGCACTGATTAATATTTTCAGCAATTGTAAATTTCCAGTGTCATGTCTGGTGCTGGCTCTGCCAACTGGCTCTCAAGGGCTCTTCTGGTCCTGTTCCCTGCCATCCTACGATTTTGCGTTTCTAGTCTGAAGAAAAGAATAGAAATCAATAACCATCCAGGCCAAACAGCTTTCTCTAAACTGTAATGCTTTAAACATGCAAAGAGGCTAAAGTCTAAGCCTCTTTGCTTCAGAAGGTTCAAAAGCTGCCAGCATAAAAGATCCCCAGATTCATATAAATTTGGTACCAGTTTCTAAGAAGACTTTAATAGGGAAGGCAAGAGGAGAAACCTTATGGTAAAATAAAGGTCAAAATTAATGTCTCGCCATAGCATACTGATTACCCTTCGGGCACCCCAGTACCCCTGGGTAGTGCCTTTGGCTAAACATTTTCCTCTCTCACCTTAGGTGAGTAAGGCCTCATGCAGGAGAACTTGGTTCTTGTTTCACCACTGAAGTAGACAAATATTTGACAGAGTCAAAAGAGTCAGGTGTGGCAGCAAGGTAGGAAACAGTGGCAGGGATAAAAAGTGAGACTGAGAACAGTGGCAGGGATGCCACATGCAGTAAAACCATCTCTAAACCTCCCACGAGGTTCAGAAAATATTCATGAAATAGCAGGTGTTAGATTCAAACACAATGTCTGATGAAAAAGATCTGTTGTTGTGATATAAGTCTGATATTCAACCCCAACTACACAAATACCCACAAGAGAACTCACCAAACAAAGAGGAAAGCAGTGACAGTAAAAGGTGTGACAAAATCATCAGTCCTCATGTATGAAAAAGTAAAATTCAAATAGATTATTTTTACAACAAAATAACACAATCTAAGCCTCGAGGGAAAGTGATCAAAGATCAAAGAGCAAATAAGAGACAGGCAACATAAACAGGCACCCACAGTATCTGGAAGTAATAGAAGAACAGCAGCATACATCACCAGAGAATCTTAAAAGAGCTGTCATGTAATTGTGGAAAAACATCCTTTGTGCAAACTTTGAAAAAAGAGTATTTACATCTAGGGAGCAAGACAACATTTTCTGTGCCTGCACAAAGCTACCCTCTCTGGACTTTTTACTACTCTTTCTTCATACTCCTATTTGGTCTCTATGTAAAAAGTACAGTTTGTATCTCCACTGCATGAACATTCAGCAGAACTGCTTGAACAGTAAGGGCAGAATAATAAAAGTCTAATCCATTAGCAAAAATTTCAGAACTAACTCCACCGGAGTTCATGACAGACAAATCTAGGACATTTCCAAAATAAGGAACAAAATGGTAGTGTTCAAAAACATTTTAAAAAAGAACTGCAACAGCTAGTTAATCAATTGATTTTACATATAACCTGAGTCAAGGTGAAGGTGAATATTTGGAACAGCAGCACTTAGTGTTTCACTATTTCCTTTTTATTATTATATTCAATTATAAGGGTAAACAATCTTGTTTTCCCCATTGATTTTCCTTCTTTCCTTGCATGGGCTAAGGACCACCAGTTGCCCCTCCAACAACCATCATCTGAGAAATTTGAAATGACAGTATGAAGTTGTCTTATTCTGAATCCTTCAATGTATTGAATTTGTTCTTGCCCTTGATCATTTAATTGTGCAAGCAGAAATATATCAGATAAGGAAACTAGCACAACTAGCTGTCCTCCTTTCTCTTTCCACCCTGCCCTCCTTGCAGGCCCAGTCACTGAACTCAGTATTACTTTGCTCACAACAAATACACAGAGCACTGCAAATACGCATTACAGTTGGCAAAACCATTAGTCATCCTGTTTGCTTTCATCTAATACACAGGTTTGGTTATTTCTATTTATGGATTCACCTCACACAAGATCTTCTTCCACTTCCAATGTCCTTTTTGCTCCTGGTGTTCATCCCTGTTGGCTCCAGTGGTCATACATACTCCTAGTCCCCCAAGGGCTAGAAAACTATTCAGCAAGAGTACATTGTGATTTTCAAAAGACTTGATTATCCACTCACTGGTGTAAATATCTGCTAACACAAGAATGTCTCCCAAATTTTACATGGGAACTCCCATGACAGTAGTAGGGTCACAAGCCTTTCAAAGTTAGAAAGAGTACTTATGCAGTATACACATCCATTCTGGACATGCAATGAAACACCTGGGGCCAGACAAATACATCTTAATTTACCTACTTCTGTATGGAATGGTGAAAAAAAAAAAGCATTAGGAACTTGCATGTCTTCCAGACAGAAGTTACCAAGGACTGTTAAAGAGCAACCTATGATGCACAAGTTCTCTCTATCTCACCAGCCTGTAGTGGCATCACGCTTGATTAGACTTGCTAGAATTTCTCGTCTGCCATGACCAGTACAGACAAAAGCCTGTAAAACGAAAATTCTGCAGATGGGCATATGAGTAAACTTGGTGTCTGGTTCTACACTGTGCTTTGCAAAACCTGAAGACTGTGAATGTGGTAAAACTCTTTATTTTTTTGCATAAATATCTGTTGTACAGCTCCTTCCTGTCAATTTAAAACCAGAAACAAACCATATTAAAAAAAGTGCCCCGGTCATGGGACTGAAAAAGAAAGCTGGCATAAGTTAACAGCAACAGACAGATGAATTTCTTGGAAAGTTTGTGCTGGAGTGTCAGGGCTGCTGCATGCAGATACTTGTAAGACTTTACACTCTGAAGATGAAATACACAACTTTCTTTCCTAGAATTATGTGCAAGATTTGTGCAAATCAGATAATCTCTAATGAACAGAGTTTGTGATCTCCTTTCTTAGTTATTCTTTTGACGGATGAAGATTATAGAGCACCTGAAGGCAAGTCTCTACCACGAGCAGGATTGGGAAGGCTTAATACAAAAATGAATGAGTCAGTCAAGGGCAGAGCACTTCCACATGACTAGCAGAAAGAGTTATCTCAGAAAACTACACTGAGAACCACTTGAAGAGAGTGACGTGAAGCATGAAAGCAAAAGTGTCATGTCTCTTAGGAGTCTTGCCATGATATTACAGAGAAACTAAAAGCTTGGACCCTTGGTTAAACAACTTGCACTTATGCAATTGAATTATAAATGTGTGTGTACAAACAGTATCTGTATGAGAAATTACATATACAAGTTAGAAACTAAATTACTGGAAGAGTTACACTCTTGCTCAGGGGGAAGTTATAGGCTCAATGAAGAAATTCACGGGTAGGATTCCGGACTTCTGGCACTTCACGTGTTTTGGCAAACACAGCAGCATTTTCTGATCTTTCCAGTCTGTTATTCCAGGAGCTAAAACACTCTAACACACTCATTATGACAGACATCTTCAACCAGTCCCTGGAAAACCAAGATTTTCAATAGTAAGTCCTTCTTGACATTGATGCAGTGAAGAAGTTTAGTGTGGGACAAGCCAGGGCTGTGCCAGCTCTGAGATGTCATAGGACAGTCCATCCACAGAGAGTGGAAGTGGGTAAATTTTTAGTAACCCATGGTTGGGCTTAGTATGGAGTTTTCAGGAGCTCCCAACTTGAAATGAGTCTTTGTGAGGACTCTGAGAACACTCAGCAACAAGTGCTCAAAATATGTAGAGTTTCAAGGTGCTTGTTCCTTCCATGTAATTTCTATTACTACAAAAACAAATTAAAAAAAAATAAACAAAACCCCCATACAAAACAAAAGAATTAAAATATCAGGCCTCTAGAGAAATACCCAACTACGGGTAATCATATTTACAGTAAATAGCATCTTTCTCTGGCAGTGGATCAAGAGAAATAAGTGTGTCTAATCATTAAATCAAGCCAAACGTGTCAGAATCAGCCATAAGCAATGGCTGTCAACTTGAAAAGGAATGACTATAAACACTGTTGTTTTTCCTCAGGAATAAACAGAGAAACAAATGGCTTCAACACCACCTTCTCAAAAGCACTATAAAAACTGTATTTTGCTGGAATGCATGAAGTTTTTCAGATCTTGGGAGAGCAAGAGGTTTCAACAGTCTGGTTAATACAATTTGGTTTTTCACAATGTCATTTGGACAACATCATTACAGAATGCTTCACAATTAATTACATTCAAATAGCAGCTTCTATCCCCTGTGGAGAATGGGATTAATTGGGTCAGATGTAAATATGCATTTCATGGATCCTACCGAACACTTGCCCATCTCACCAATTTACCACGTAATTTGATACAACTGGTGTAGTATGCTCTGGAGACCCACAGAGTGAGCACGGTTGCCAGTCAGGGTAGAAATACATGGATACAGGAATGCTGGTATTCTCAGCCTGCATTATGCTTGGCTCTAACTGCTTGACCCTTTCATTCACTTGCAGAAATACTAATTTATATTTACTAACACTGAAATACTTTGCTGTTGAAAATAAGGCTTGGGACCTAACTCAGAACTGATATGAAGCATTATGACAGACCTCTGGCAACAGTGGATCAGAAGCTGTTCTCCTGGTGTCTTTTCCTCCTCTTTTGGAAAGAGGACCTGGTCAAAAGAGCAGAGAGAATTCCTGAGACCAGGGCTTTACTGGGTCCTGACTCTGGGAAGGGTAAGAGTAAAGGTAAGCCACCTACAATGAAAGAATGAAGGAGCCAATTTGGAAGAGTCAAAGTTGTTTCCTTGACCTCTTGAGCAGCCTAACCCTATATCCTGGGATTGTGATGGCTTTTCACTCTCTTTCTGGAGTTTTGGGTAGGGGCAGTTTAGTTTAAACGTACTCCTCCTCAAGTCTCCATTCTTCATTTTTTTATCATTAAATACATATCTGACAAATTTTTCACTGCTTCTTTTTTTTTTTTTTTTTTTTTCCCTATGAAATGAGGTGGGCCAGAACACACACAATGAAAGAATCACCATTTTCTAAAATGATCTGGAAAACAAAATTTTGTGCCTGTGGCAGATGGTTCTTGAAAAGCTACCTCTTGTTACTTTCAAGCATCAAAAATAATAACACCATTTCCTGTCTCTTTCTAACTTCCTCTGCCCTATTTTCAGGTTGCACTCTCCCCTAGGTATAATAAGAAATGAGACATTTGCACCCAGCTGGAGAACACCTTTCATGAGCTGGAAAACTGCAGAGTTCATTTCTGGCGTGTCTCCTGCTGTTCATGAGTAACTACCAGGACAAACTCACTCGAGTGAAGCGCAAACTTCAGTCCCTAAGGCTTGTCAGTTCAGAGCTGATCTTCAGTGACTGTGTGCTGGGTAGGTACAAGAGAGGACTCAAAGTTTCTAAATTTTTTCCAAGGAAAATAAAAAAACTTTCTCAAATATTCATTCTTACTTTTCCAGTCCTGCCTGTCCTGGGTGATCCAGCAGATAGTAACTTAATCATCCCAGATCAGAAATACGGCAGTATTGCTGTTCTGTAGCTTAAATCCTGTTCCTATCTTATTTAATCTTAAGGAATAATTTGTTTAGGTATTTGCAAGCTGGCCAATGTGAGTCATTACAGTGTATCATGTCCTGCTTGCTGCTTTGGTGCCATGCATGTTTCCCACAATTTGAATATCTGTTCCCTGTCCCACAGAGTACTTGTTGTTTTCCACCACCTCTAGACAGACATGGTTTCTCTATTCTCAAATTTTGTGCGGTTTTGTTTATTTGGGTTTTTTTGTTTGTTTGTTTTTCTGTGACTTCTTTGATTTGCTGTTGTTTAGTTGGGTTTTTTTTACCCACAGAAATTACAATTTTTTTCTTCTGATTTTGTTCTCTTGGCTTTCCCTCTACCCTGGCACCTGGATTCCCTTGCTCCACCTTGTGCACTTGCATTCTAGCAGCTTTAATTATTGTTTAGATATCTGGGACTTGATATTTGGAGGTCTCTCTCAGGAACTGGTATTGCATGTTCCATATATTAGATTGCTTTTGATTACAGAATGTTTAATGTACCTCGGATTTTGTTTGATTTTCAGAATTTTCTCCCTTGAAATGCAACTACCCTTTTTCTTTTCTGTTTCTTGGTGTGGGATGAAAAATCTACCCCACATAGTCCATCATCTTGTGTATGTCTGTAAAATACATGAAATACAGATACTTGTTTACAGGTTTTAACGTTCCCTCCTCTAATAAGGGAGGAAAAAGCATCCAATTCACTTTCCATGACACTTGCAAACAGGCCCCCATAAGAACTGTTTTCTCTCTTCCACTGTTTCTTTGTTCATGTTTGATTTTCACTGAAAAATCTACATTTCCAGTAAGCTTAGCCTGTCCATATGGACAGGCTGCTCTTACCACAATTTTTGATCCATTGCTTGGATACCACCTTCATGGTTGAACTGCTTCATTTCCTGCAGGTTGCTCTTTCTTTTCACACTCATGTCTCTCTTTAGACTGTGCTTACAGCTCGACTAAGGATTTATATCAGAACGCTTTTAAAGTTTGAGATCATGCTTTTGTTTAAATGCCTAAAGTAAATGTTGTATGTCCATTTAATAAACAACACAGATACACTGACTGATGTTAACTAGGGCCATTCCTAGCCTATTCATGTTCACAATAAAAAGACAGACAAGGACATTCCAGTGAAGTCACAAAGTGACATGACAACATGTTGCAGTGAATTCTGCCTATTGTTTAACTGCATTTAAATATTTGCTGCAGCTATATGCAGGACTATAACTTCAAGCTAAATGATCATTTCAGTGTATTTATTTCTACTGGATTTTTTTCTGCACAATGAAGTTACAATGAAGTGCTAATGCAATTGCCCTGGAGAAATAAAAGTAACCACAGTATCTTTAGGGTGTTTATTTACAGCAGAAGCTACATGCTCTTTAATCCGTTGAGAAAGCAAGATGAGAGAGAGAAAAAGCCATTCAGACTCTGATTCCTATTTTCACAATGAAACTCGTGTTTGAGCTCGCTCAGCGAGTACCAAAAATAGCTCAGCAAAAGGGCTTTCCTTGAGCACTTCCATTATTCACATGATGCGGCACCTTACATAACGCGCAGCGTACGCAGCCTCCCCCCGAACACCGCGCACATGGATGCAAGCAGGCAAACATTCCCACTGGGGACAGTAGTGCCAAGTGTTTTAAAGGCAAAGTCAGGCTGAAGGCATTGATTTTTTTTTTTTTTTTCAACGGGCAAGTCTAGAAAATCTTAGAAAATTATTTGGGGGAACCAACAGAAGGATTTTGGTATGATTAAAATTATAGACATGGCCTATTAAAGCTGCTGTTACTCCAAACATGTCTCTTCTCATTTTTAAAGATGGAAATACTGTATTATCTGGAGAGTCTCAGTAACTTTATTTGGTCACTTTTGGTACCTGCCTCAACACTGGCAGCTCCATTCAAAGACAAACAATTCTCTGAAGCACTTGACCAGGTGCTGCCATCTTTGCTCAGTGGAGTTATCCTTTGCTTCTGTAATCACTTAGTCCCAGTCCCAGCTCTTTCATTTGAAAACACCATTTGTGCCTCCCTTTGCTGATCTGCATGCATGTGAACCCCCTTGTCTGCAGCATTGTTATTTGTATTGCTCTGTGTTCCCTGCACATGGGATTAAATCTGTCACTGCTTCCAGCTGCACAGTTTTTCATTCAGGCTATAAAGTATTGCTTTTAACACTAATGGTCTCAAACTTAACCCCTATTCTTGGTCACAGTGGTAACCATCACACATATAATTTAGGAAGTCATCTTTGAAATGATGGTATGAATACTAGTGTACCGTGGCTCATTTTGACTACTGATCATATAACATAATAATTATTGTTTTCAAAAAGGGATGATTGAACCTGTGTAAACAGTTCTGCTTCCCTGGAAACCCATAATTTTGAAAAATAAGCAAATCTTGTTTGGTTATTAAAAACCATATTTTAAAAAGGAGTTCTTTTCTTTCAACTGATCTGGTGCCATGAAAATTTAGATTTGAATATAAAGAAACTGCACTACATCCTCAGTACCATTAGACTCATGGATTCTGCAGCCTTTGCTCTCTCTATGTATCATGATACAAAACAAATAGGGAAGCATTTCTCTCAGCAGTTCAGTATTGCTGCTGATGAGTGTATTTAACTTGAGGAGAAAGACTACATGAATCTTTATGGCAAGCTTTGAACATTTCCTCCAAGAGAAACAGCACAGGGCAGACAGACAGGCTGCAGCACTGATAACCTGAAAGCAGGGATTTAGTCTGTGTGGAAGATGCCAACAGGTCCTGATAATGCAGTCTTTTCTAATGCAATGACAGGTCAATGGTTCATCTTCAAATAGAATTTCTGGACCATCAATAACACAATCCAGACATTTCCTAGAAAAACATTAACCAATCTGACCTTTGACTTCATAGATCTGATGGTCCCTTAAGGTGTCTTGTGCTTTCATGCAATGCTCTGAGGGTTGCAGCACTAAGAACAAGACCCCGTAGAAGCAATAATGAAAGCAGTACCAGAGATACAGGCTTATAAAACTAAGAACCGTTATTTTCTTGTCTTGTAGATCAAACTGCTAAACCCATGAACCCTGGTCAGGTGTGATTTGGCACATTTTTTCTTCTCTCCTTAGATCAGCACTGAGTGATGCAGTATAGATGTAAAACCACACTCTTACATTGTCTTCTCTTGACTATGACTTTTAGATTTGCATTACCTTGGTACAGTGAGCAATACCTCAGCAAGTAAAGCTCCCTGCTTGCGAGGCTCCTTGCAGCACCAGAGGCTATTTTGATATGTTCTCTTCTGCACATAAACATCCTTCTCTTGAGCAGAAAAGTACCAAGCTGCAGCCACGGTAGCATTGCTCCAGAAACCTCTGCCTTGCTATGTCTCCTCTGTTGACCTCTCAAGTGTGCATCACTTATGTGATGGGAGTTCTCCAGGGGAAACCTGTGCCAGTGCACCTCCAGCTCTTAGGGTTCTGCAGCAAAAGCTCTGCAGTGACATGGCCCCTCTGTGTACTGTCCTGGATGTCTATGTAATACGCAATATTCAAAAGTACAAGAGAGGTTTCTGCAAGCTTCCCTTAAAGAGAGGATAACAGGGACTTACATGACCTTTAGCTGGACTACCAGCACTTTGTGACTGATAAGACATGCAGAGGTGAGTACTTACTTGGACTGCTTTTGTGGTTGTAAGGTATCAGCTTTTCAGTGGCAGCATAGTAATACTGGTCATATCTTCTACAGAGACCCTGATTTTTTTCTTTTTGTATTCAGTTTCTGTATGTGTGTAAATACAATTATTTCTACAATAGAAAGTATCCAGAAATTAAGGCTCTCTTCTACTGCTTGATACTGTAGCTCTGAAAGTGAACAATGTATTGCATTGCACACCTTCTATCTTAATTTTGCTGTGTAACATGAACTGTGGTTTTTGCTGACGGTTTTTGACTTTGGAAACTACTAATTCCTTTTACAGTGTATAAAATCCATTGAAATCATCAGCATCTTATAATCACATGACTTCACAGGGCTTGATCAAAGTCAGAGGCCCATTACAAATCAAAAGTGGCTCCGGCAGTGTTTTTGTTCCGGGAAATCAGGTCCTGAAAGATTAAAATCCCAGTCTCATTTTATTTAAATGAACACATTTCATTTCT